TTAAAAAAAAAAAAAAAAAAAAAAAAACTCAAAGTTTCATTCCAAATAGGCAGACAAACAAAGCACCACAACCCTAACCTATCTTCCATCTCTCTGTCTTTCACGTGACACCCACAGTCCCATTCCACTCTCCACGGCGTCGCCTCTCTCATTTTATCAACAAAACCGATGCCGGTGGCCAATTGTGGATGGTCAAGGGTCGCCGGTAAGTTGGAAGTGTTATAATCCGAAAGTACTAATATTACCAGGTGATTACACAAATCTGGGTGCTGCTTCTTGGAGGTCTCAAGTTGGCTGGTTTATTAGATGTGTGGGTAGGTCTTCAAAAATACCATCTCTTCACTAGTAAATGGCTACAATTCGCCCTAAAATCTCTCACCTTATAGGCAAGGCATAATTTCCCAGTAATATTTTACCTAGCCGTCGGTGGATCCTTGTTATCGTGCATTTACTCAGCTTCACCACTAAAGGTAGTTCAACACATTCTTGCACCCAATATGGAAGGTTTGGTTTTTTTAATTTTGGAAAAAAGGATGAATATTTGAAAAATAAAACATATTCTTCTGTATCACAGCTTAAACAGAATGGATGGACTGGCAATTTTATCTTGGGGGCAAGCTATATTAGTGTAACTTCTTATGGCATCTCAACTCAACTGCTATTTGCATAAATTGTATGAACAAGAATTTAATGTTATAGGGCCACTTAAATGCCATGGGAATATAAAATTGAAATGCTTTTGGATGATTGCCTTATCGCAAGAATTTTTATGTTTTAGCTTGGTATAACAATTGTAAATGACTTCAAAAGCATTGAAGGAGATAGGAAAATGGGGCTACAGATTCTTTCTATTGCTAAATTTGACTTGGTATTTTCGCTTAGATATTGTTATATACGAATGAATGCGTGTACTTATGTACTCATTTTGTGTTGACACCCTTACAATCACTTCCGGTAGCTTTTGGCACTGAAACTGCTAAATGGATCTGCATTGTGAGGTAAGCATTTTAACATCTTTCCATTCATGAATCATACAAGTATGTCAAATTTGTTGCAATTAGTTATTTGGATGACGTGTTGGTTTTTTATGAATATATGGTAATAAATTAGACTTTGCCTAAACTGACCAACCCGACCGACACTTGATTGGGTTGGGTTTCAATATTTACTTGGGTTGGGTTGGTTTGATTTTATTTCAACCCAACCATGGTAAGTTGGTTTAGGGTTGTTGTAAAAACCGGCCCGACCCGACCCGACCCATGCCCACCTCTACCTGTATGTAATTGGGTTTCTGGCCCTTGAGCTTTTAACTCTTTTTGTGGGTTTTGAATACCCGTATGTTGTTGAGAACATTGAACTTGACTATGCTCATCTGTTTTGAGTGTCTTCCTCAGGATTGTATTTTCATCGTCGTTAGTCTTGCTAATGTTGATTTGTTCTGTTTGGGGTGGTTGTTGATTTTCACAGATATCATTCTCCCCCTCTGAAATAGGAGTTGATGCCTGGTTAATGTTAAGAAGTCTGTCAAGCTTCTTTTTTAAAAAATTTGCCTTATGCTGTCTTGTTGAAATTTCCATCTCTTCCATTTCAATCTGAATTTCTAAATCAGCAATTTGGTCTGCTATGTTTGCCATTTTAACCTGCAAGAGCAAATTCTCTTGTTAATATATCATCTAGAGAATTATTTATCCCTTTTATTATTTCAATTGAAAGATCATAATGGCTGAACCACATCTGCCATCTTACAAGTCTTTCTTATTTGTAGTCTAGATGTACCTAGCTTTTCAAGAATGAACTACAAGTACTTGAATCAGTTCTAACAATAAATTTTTCAGAAATTATATACAGACTAAATTTTGTTATTGCCTTTTTCATAGCTCAGATTTCTTTTTAATTTATGTGATAATTTTTTGCTGCATTTGGAAAAGTTCTAGAAGCATAACCACATAATTTTTCTTCTTTTTGATCAAGAGCTTTCAAAACTGCTCCCCAATGTTCTTGAGAGTCATCTGTTTCAATTATCATTTTATCTCCTACTTTGGGATGATACAATGATGGTAAAAGTTTTATTTTAGATTTAATTTTTCCAATATAAAGAGTATCTTCTTTAGTCCAAATCCATCTAAAATCTTTTTTAAGTTTTTTCTAGAGTGGCATTCTCATTTTTGCTAAATCTTTTATAAAAGATTCTGCATAAGTGAGACATCCAAGAAATCTCATCAACTGTTTTTGATCTTGAATTTCATTTGGAAATTCTTGAATATGAGTAAGGATATGGGGCTTAAGTTGTTTATAGCCATTAGCTATATCTAACCCAAGATATCCAATCTTTTCCTTAAACAATTCTGCTTTATTTTCAGATAACACAATTCCTGTATTATATGCTTTCATTAAAATATGAGTTACATGTTTTTCATGTTCATCTTTTGTATTTAAAAATACTAAAATATCATCTATATATACACAACAACATCTATTATGTTTCTGAAAATATTGTCCATATGTCTTTGAAAAATACATAGTGCTTGCTTTAGCCCAAATGGTGCAGCCTTCCATTGATAATGTCCTTGTGGACAGCGAAATGTTGTAAGATGTTTTGTTTCTTGGTCAAGTATCACTTGTCAAAAACCAGATTTGCAATCAAAGGATGAAAATATTTTCTTTCCTTTTATTAGTTGTAATAGACTTTGCATATTTTGAATTAAATATCCGTCTTAGTAATTTTGTTAAGCTGAGAATAGTCAATTACCATTCTAGCTTTTCCTCTTCTCATTTTTGCTTCTTTTCTTACCATAAAGGCTGGTGAAAAAAGTTGAGATTTACTAGGTTCAATAACCTGTAATTCAAGTAATTCTTTAATTTGTACTGAAAATTCATCTCTATCTTTAGGGCTATAAGCTATTGCCTTAGCTCTAATAATAGATGTTTTAAATTCATCAAGTAATTCAATAGTTGCTGTCATATTTCCTTTATTCTTTTGAGGATTTAAAGGATTTTCTGAGCAACATTTTTCAAGTAGTTCTAACATCCCCTCTCTTTGAGAGTTAGTTATGAATTCTTGTTTTTCTTTATTAGTGATAAAAATATGCCTTCTTTGTGCAATATTTTCACCTTGAAATTCCTTAAAATCCTTCTTTTTGTTGTCAATCTTCATTGTATTCAAGAATCTTTCTTGCAAAATATTCATAGCTACCGCTTTTCTTTTTTTTTGGAATCCATAATCTTTTACTATGAAGAATAAAACTAATAGATTCAATTTCTTCAATGAATGGATGATATAATTGGCAAAAATTATTTCCAATCATAAAATCAATACCAGTTTCAAGTTGGTATACTGTAGGTATTTTGAAATAAAAGGTTTTCCATTGGGATTTATGGTAACCATTAATTTCAATATTCAATCCTTTTACTACCTTATAAGTTTTAACTTCAGTTTTATCTGCAATCTTAAGACTTAAGATTCTTTCAGATGTTACCCAAAATTGTTTTGGTATAATCCGTTTGCTTTCAGTACATAATGAAGCTCCAGTATCAACATAAGCATGGATAGTAATCTTTCTATATCCTTCAAATCTTAATTTAATAGGAATATAGATAGAGTTAGGATTTGTAATATTTTTATTACTCATCTTCTGATGATTCTGTTTCTGAATATTCAGATTCAGTTTCAGTAGCCAGGTAAAATAGTGATTCTGTATCACTAGGGTCTTCTATTGGGTGGAAACCTTTGCTTTGAAATGTATTCAAAAGTTTAATCCTTTCTTCATTTTTTAATCTTGCTGGACATTCATTTGTATAGTGTCCAGATTCATTGCAGAGCCAAATCCTCTCGAATGTCTTGGGAATTGTCATTTCATTTACTTTATGTTCTTTATTTCATTTGAATAAACAGTACAGTAATTCCTTGTTCACAAGCCATCCTTCCCAGCTAATTCATATGCTTATTTTGTCAATTACATCTGCACTTTCCATTACATAAATCAGCCACCATATTGACTACCTAACTAGATCCAGGAATCACCCGCAAGACAGGTTCATCAAACGCTTCACAGGTCTAGATCATCAACTCTATTAATCAGCAGCAAAATTCAACAGAAGCAATCAGGATCATATCAAATTGGTATATGAGCCTTCAATTCTCGGACAAAGGGAAACTATGTTCAGCAGAGAAGTACAAGAGAGTTTAAATTTGGTAATGAGTATGTTGGAGAAGAGGTTAAGGTGACAGGAAGGAGATCGAAACGATGATTCATGGTTGGATTCATGCGGCCGACTCAACACATCATTATTCTATGGGGACAATTTAGATTCATGGCTGATTGAGGTGGAGGGATGCCTAGACAAGAAACACGGCTTATCGGAGAGGAAAAAGGTAGAAGCCGCAGTTGCTTGCTTTTATGGAGAGGCTTGGGCATGGTACCAAGAGATAGATGATAGCTGTCTAATAGAGACCTGGGTAGAATTGAAGGTGAGGATGATGGTTTGATTTCCCATGAAGCAAATCTCTGTTGGTGAATTTTCAGATTGGAAGTACGGGAATGAGTTGAACCGGGAGACAGCACGGGAAGAACAGCCGGGAAAAGTGGGTATGTGTCCCCATCGCCATCATCGGTGGAGGAAAAATTCCATTGCACAAAGGAACTGTCATCACCGGAGGAGGAGGTGAAATTCGAATTGCAGAAAAAGGAAAGTCACGAGAGCGGTAGGAAGGAAAAGGGAATTGCACTTAAATTTGACCAGAAATGTGGATCCGAAACTCACCATCGCTTCTGAGAGCCCCCCAAAATTGAAGGAAGTCGGAGTAAGTAGCTGTAGCACGAACCGCCGAAAGGAGCCGGCCAGGAAAGAAGAGGAGGTTGCTACTTCGTTGGGAATTACCCATGCTTATCCACATCGATCTGATGAAGTCGTGGTGAATAGAGTGCGCTGGGATTGGCTTGAGAGAACCATTGGAGACGGGAGGTCAACTGAAATCTTACCATTACTACGCCGGAGGGAGGGAAGATGCCTGGTAATGGGCTGAAGTTGGAGAATCTGAATCTGGACAGTAGAAACAAAAAGGAATTGCTGAAGCAGATAGGGTTGGACTACTGTATAGAGCTGGCCGAACATGTCAAAGACAGGAATGAGTTAGTAAGGCAGGCCCAAATGAATTACAGTAGCCTAAACCACTTAAATCCAGCTTCTAGCCCACTTATACACTCTTATGCAGCCCTTTTCATACTCAATTAACCTACGTAATCCACCCTAAAAACCATCACATTATTCTCGTTTTTAGCCTCGATCTGCTGCAATTGGGAAAACGGTTATTTCACTGGTGGAGGGAGAAGATTAAAATCGAGCATCACAGAGAAGATGCACACAGCTTTCTGGAAATTTCAGTCAAAATCAATAAAGCGGGAGACAGCACAGTTGGACGGAGTAGCCAGGAGGATTCAGGAAGAATGGAGAACCGGTTGGGCCATGAGAAATCTACCATCAGAGAAAATCGGAGATTTATGAAAATCATATCAGCGCCGTGGTCGGTGATATCAGATGGAGTACTGGGGAAAAATCTCGTCTTTGGGCTGAGTTCGTTGGATAAGGATGAGGTCTCCAGTGATAAAGAAATTCCAGCCTCGAAGCATTCGGAATTGGGGGGCTCAGAGACAGCCATGAAAGAACACCAATGTCAACCTTTCGAGGCTCCACTGTCATCGTCAGAAGGGAAGTCAGAACACTACGTGGAGGGGTTCTGAATGCATGATATGGAGACCACGATGAAGAAATGGGAAGGGACTGGGCTTGAAATTAAGGCTGACTTTCATAGAAAAAAACCTATGGGCTATGATTTGAGGTTGGGCCAAGAAGTTGAAGATCAAAATGAATCCTCGAGGCAGGTCCCATGTCCAGATAAGAATGAATTAGTGAGAATGGCCCAAATGAAGCAGGCCCAGTTAAACTTTGGCCCATCTAGATCTAAAATTAATGTAGATAACCCAAGCCCACAACTCCTTTATTTCCCAGTCGACACACACAACCCGCCTGTTAATCAAAGTTCATCTTCAGTTTCAATCCCAAGATCAGTTTTCATTACTCCAAAATTCGATAAACCAAAGCAATCACAACCACCAAATCAACTTACTGTTTTAGAGCTTCGAAAGAGGAGGGAAAATGGTTTATGCCTTCATTGTGACGAGGAAAAGCCAGTGGACAATAATTTTGAAAATCAGGGGTTACAGGTGTTGGTGGTAATTGATGATTTAGAGGAAGTATGCTTCACAGAGGTGGAAAAAGGGGATGGGAAAAAAAATGGAGCTTCCGAGGATGAAGTTTCGGGGGTAGATTGGTCATGACCGTATGATATTATAAACCGATGGTGCAGCCATTTATAATGTGTTTACAACTCATCGGGTTCAAAAATTGGAAAGCTAGCAAAGGGGTGCTACCGGTTATGGGATTTGCATGAATAACATTCTAAATGTTGGCAGTCGGCACAAGAACTTCTTAATGGCATGTGGACTAAAATATCGCATTTCGGCATTTGGCATGGTGGGAGTTCTAATCAAAGAAATGATGCAGTAACATAAAATTCCGAATTTTAAAGTTGAATCACACTTCCACCTTGAGGACAAGGTGGATGTTGGGGCAGGGGGTAATGATAGACCCTCACCTCAAATATTCCAATACAAGTTGTTATTAGTTCACTATTCTAGAGAATTCCATAGTTAGTTGGCAAAAGGGTAGAATTGTAATAACAAACTAGTAAATTCTCTATAAATGTTTGAATAAACAGTATAGTAATTCCTTGTTCACAACCCATCATTCCCAGCTAATTCATACTGCTTATTTCGTCAATTACATCTGCACTTTCCATTACATAAATCAGCCACCATATTGACTACCTAACTAGATCCAGTAATCACCCACAACACGGGTTCATCAACAGCTTCACAGGTCCAGATCATCGACTCTATTAATCAGCAACAGAATTCAACAGAAGCAATCAGGATCCTATCAGATTGCTACCCTTTGGCAGCATTTTCATTGAGATTTATTTCGTTTTCACCTCCTTCTGGAATTACAAGGTAAATTTTCTGCCTTCTCTGGGTGTGATTTGTAGTAAATAATGCATCATGCTACATGGGTTTATAATTATTAGTTTGATTGATTTTTATTATTATTTGTGAAAATTGAAGTATCAATTCAAATATGGATGGAGAAGAAAAATATATTTGAGTGAAGTTATTAATACTACGTTTGAAAGAAATTTGGTATAAATATCTATTGAAAATAATCTCAATATACAAGTGAGGCACCAGGTAAGCCAGGCTTTCTAAATGTTTCTTGGGCTCATGAAGAATTATATGGTAAATAATTTCTTCCAGCTGCATGGATGTTAAACTTGTTTGATTCAGGATTTATTTCCCTGTTTTAGGCCTCATTACTAGGATCGGCTTCCATGGTGTCCAAGTCAAAGAAAAATTGGGTGCCAGCAACTATTTATAGAGCTGTGTATTCATGGTTGATGGTTGTACCACCAGAATCTCCATGATGTAATTGGATCGAGCACTATGTACAAGTTGACAATCTAATAATTTTGCTGGCAGACTCCAAAGAAACAATAGAGTCAGTTTCATTCTAGCTTAGGTAATGCATGGTGAAATAAGAGTGCTTAAGTACTCATTTTCTGTCCTTTGTTTTCTTATTGGTGAGGAGATCAGTGAGTAGTGGTGAATGGCGTGACCAATTTAAAGAGGAAGAGAACAATGATAAGGACATGAACCAATCTGTCCAAAAATAAAGAAGCTCTGTGAGAACTGTTTTCTGTTGTGAAAGTTATATATTGGCTTCATTGTATGGTTAGGGTTATCTCTAAAATTCATTAGTGCTCTATTCCTCTTCCATCCCCTTTTGTAGTAATTCAAATTTTTGCAGAAGGCCTGTTTTCTTTCTTTCTTTTCCTTTTAAACAAACGGAGGACCTGTTGTAAAGGTCTCAAAAGGGCAATCTTGTTTAATTTTTTTACCATAATGAGAAAAGATGGTATATTCATAATTTGATGTATTGGATAAACCATTTCTTCTGTTGCTTCTTGTTTTTGGCAGGTGTACTATGTCTATGGCTTTATGCTTCTGGTGTTCCTAATTCTTGTCGTTACTGTCTGTGTCACAATTGTTGGAATATATTTCCTGCTAAATGCTGAGAATTATCAATGGCAATGGACTCCCTTCTTCTCGGCATTCTCAACGGCCTTCTATGTGTACTTGTACTTAATATATTACTACTACTTGAAGACATAGATGTCCGGGGTTTTCCAGACTAGCTTCTACTTTGGATATACACTGATGTTTTGTCTTGGTCTAGGAATCCTCTGTGGTGAGTAAAAATTATGACCAATTGTTTTATTGAAGTTACTTTTGCTGGCTCCTCTTGCTTTTCGTTTTAATTAAACAAGTCTCGTGCATCTGAAAACAAAAAGGAAACATTGATGGAAGCTTTTTGAGTGGGTCCTTTCCTGTTGATATAGCAATGTAGGATGAAAAATTGTGCGGGAGGAAAGTCCTACCTGGCAGTGTCAACTCTCTGGTTTGTTGCTGTGATTTGTGTGATGGCTATAATTTTCTAGCATTTGCAATTTACATTTTGATACGTTTGTCACGCATAATTGGACAGTACTAAGATATTGTTTGACAAAGCTTTTTGAGATCATAAGCTATTGGTTGCCATGATGTGTGGAAAATGGATAAAAATTGTGGATCCAATGATTAAAAATGAAGCTTGTCCAGCTTAAAATCTAATAAAAGCT